TGTGGGGGGGGGGGGGGGGTGACTAAAGGCGGTGACTGTGTAGTTCTGATGTGAACTTTTTACGGAAGTCACAACGGTTCGTGAAAAACCACAGCTACTTAATGCAGGCTGTGTGCATTTTACTGTGGACTGCCTGTTTTGAAATTCATATGGTAGTTAAATAGCCCCTAAACCTCAGTTATCATGAAAAAAGCCAGGAAATTTCACTTTTGACAATATGGGACCTTTAAAATAAAAGATTGTGAAAAATGTGAAAAATAATGTGTTTTTCGAACAACCTAGTATAAGAGACTGTTCTAGTACACCCCCAAAACAAAATCAAGACGTTGTAAAAGAGCATAATAGGACCCCTTTAACTAAAATAAAAAAATAATTTTCAACCCATAATAAATTCTTAAGGATACTAAAGTAAATTTTCACTTTTTCACTTTATTTTAAACGTATTAATTTAAAATGATCTTAAAAATAAAAACTAATTTAAAATAAACATTTTTTTTTTTAAACTCCTGTAATGAGTTCTGGGTGACACTGAAGCGGGCGTCTGAGAGTGTGCAGTTGTGAAATGTGTGCCGTGGGTCATCAGGACTCTTCAGCGCTCTTCTGTCTCATTCTGTTCTCTGTGTGGACATCTGCAGACGTGATGTCTGAGACCATATTTGACGGCTTTGAGAAGATGGGGAAGAAGCAGAACAAGGAGCAGGTTCCTCCACTGATCGAAACCCAGCAGAAGAAACCCAATGCAGCGAAGCAGACCAAAAAACCCCCCGCCAACAGCAGCGGCAAACCTGTGCGCTACAAGACCCTGGAGGAGGCTGTCAGAGCCGTGAGTACACACACACACACACACACACACATCGACAGCGTCTGCTGATGAATGCATGTAGTTGTTGTAGATTTGACACGCGTGTGTCTCTCAGCTGGATGTGTTGGAGCTGAAGCAGCAGCTGGAGAAGAGTCAGAGTCTGTTTCCTGAGAATCCGTCCGTCTGGGTGAAGGATCTCGCCGGATACCTGAACTACAAGCTCCCAGCGCCGGACACGGAGCCCACGCTCAGCAGCTACGCTCACGGTCCGTCTGTGTGTGTCCGTCTCGATCAACATCACCGCAGGGATTTAATCAATTAAATATGTAGTGTGTGTTGTGCTGCATGCTTCAGAGTCTTCAGTTTATTTATTTACCTAAATACTTTTATTTATAGGACCCTAATGAAATCTTTTCTTTTTCCCCAAAAAATTTCATGTTTTGTTTTAATGGTTTAATTACATTTTAATAATCCAAAATGATGTCTAAGTAACTGAATTAATAGAAACTTTCATTCAATTAAAATATTAACAGTAAAAGGGCCCTGTGAATTGTGTTTTTTTAGATTCGTTTCTCTGTTGTCTGGATTTTGTCCCTTTTGATTTAGTACAAATGTATCAAAAACGGTGGTAATCAAATTAATGCATATTTAATTATTCTTAGTATTCTTGGTAATATGCATATTTAATATTCTTAAGTATTTAATTAATCTTTTAAAATATCAAATCACATTTAAGCAGTTCATTTAATTTTATGGCAAAAAATTGAAAGCAAAGATCATATTGCAAGTGGAAGAAACATAAATAATTTTATCAAACAGTGGAAATCAAATTTAATCTTTTAAAATTTAATCAAATTAAATGTGAAGAATTCCTTTCATTTTTAGGCAAAATCAAATTTCGCATTGTAATAATTGGCAATAATTTAAAAATCAATACATTAGAATACTTTTAGTACATGTTACACAAATACGACAAATAAAATCACAATTGTAATATTTGTTAAATATATTAATTTTTGCAGGTCTAGCTCTTGAGCATATGTTCATATCTTGTTTTGTGTTTTACATTTATATCTAAATCTAATCTGAGTTTGTGTGTCTAGATTACCCATACTGCCTCGCTGGTAAGGAGCTGAGGGCCGTAATCAGAAACCTGCTGGGCAAATGTTCAGAGGCGCTGCCCGAGTTCTTCGACCACTGCGTGTTTACGATGCTGCGAGAGCAGGACCGACAGCCCGGTGAGTGGCGATAGCACCCGTCACGTTCATGATGCTCCGCTCCGAGCTGTGAGTGCTGAGCTCTGCTGCTTCTGCTTCTGCAGGTGAATCTCTGCATGGCTATAGGATGTGCATCCAGGCTCTCATGCAGGACAAGCCCCAGATCGTCACGCTGAACCTCGCTGACGTGAGTCACACTCCTCCAGGTTTGAGCTGGGCCACTCTCAGTGACCTCTGACTCCTCTATATGTGACCCTGCAGCACAAAAGTAGTCTTAAGTCGCTGGGGTATATTTGTAGCAATAGCCAACAATACATTGTATGGGTCAAAATTATACATTTTTCTTTTATGCCAAAAATCATTAGGATATTAAGTAAAGATCATGTTCCATTAAGATATTTAGTAAATTGTAATTGTTTTATTTAACAATAGAGACGGAGCGCATAAAAACAAAGCTATAAAACAGAACAATGCCTAAAAGCTACTATGTGACAAGGTGTACAGCAAACAAGCTAAAAACCCAGAACTACGTTTTTATAAGCTGTCGACCCAAAAAAATGAGTGTTTAAGGACACAAATAGTTGTAGATGCCGGGGTATTTTACGTTGGGACATTCAGTTGGATCATTTCTCAAACAAAAGGCAGGTAAGTAAAAGGGGCACTGACATAGACCAATAAAATTTAGTTTCCCAATATATCTCCTCCTCTCAGGTTCACATAGTGTGGTGAAATAATCCTTTGACATGGTTAAAAATAATGTATGTTTCCTGTCGCCGATTACGTTTCCCTCCAGTGGGCGTAGTTCTCAGAGTAATATGACATGTTGTGCTCTACTTTTGTGTCCTTAAACGCTTGTTTTTTGGGTCGACAGCTTATAAAAACGTAGTTCTAGGTTTTTTAGCTTGTTTGCTGTACACCTTGTCACATAGTAGCTTTTAGGCATTGTTCTGATTTTTGTTATAAGTCAGAAATGACAAGGGGGCAGCTTTCCGCAATGGAGAGCGTTAGATTGTTTTCCCCCCGGTGGGCGTGGATTTCAGATTATGACACGTGTCGCTCTGTCTCTATAATACCCCCGTGTGACCTCTGACCCCCTGTGTGACCCCTTCACAGCACCTGGAGCTGCTGCGCTCCCATCAGAACCGGCCGGTCAAGTGTCTGACCATCATGTGGGCTCTGGGACAGGCGGGATTCTATGACCTCAGCCAGGGCATCAGAGGTGAGCGCCGCCGAAAGCAGGGCAAAGACCAGAGAGCGCTTGAGAAATCATTGAGAAATAACTGCTGATGTGTGGAACTGCACTTCTGCAATCTCTCTTTGGGATTTAGCATGAACTTTATAACATCTGGAATGCCTTACGGAAGCAGCAGTCCTGTAGTTTTTGATGGTGTGTTTTGTCCTGTAGTTTGGTTGGGGATCATGCTTCCAGTTCTCGGGATGAAGGCTTTGTCTGCGTATGCCATTGCTTATCTGGAGCGCCTCCTCACGTGAGTCTTCACTAGAGTTATAACTGTGAGTTCTGGACGGTCTGAACTGAAGCTCAGGTTATTTGTGTCTGTGTTTCAGTCTTCATGCCAACCTGACCAAAGGTTTCGGGATCATGGGGCCGAAGGAGTTCTTCCCGCTGCTGGACTTTGCTTACATGCCCAAAAACGCCCTGTCCCAGAGGTGAGACTCGCTGTGTGACGCACAGATCATCGTCCTGATTCACATTCACGTCCTGATGCATATTCATGTCCTGAATCACGTCCTGATTCATATTCATGTCCTAATTCACATTCATGTCCTTATTCATATAATGTCCTGATTCACATCCCGATTCATATTCATGTCCTGATTCACATCCTGATTCATATTCACTTTCTGATTCACATCCTGATTCACGTCTTGATTCGTGTTTTTATTTATATTCACGTCCTGATTCAGATTGATGACCTGTTTTACATCCCGATTCATATTCATGTCCTGATTTATATTTATGTCCTGATTCATATTTATGTTCTGATATATATATTCATGTCCTGATTCATATTCACATTCTGATTCACGTTCTGATTCATGTTCACTTCCTGATTCACGTCCTGATTCACATTCACACTCTGATTCACGTTCTGATTCATGTTCACTTCCTAATTCACGTCCTGATTCATATTCACTTTCTGATTCACATCCTGATTCACGTCTTGATTCGTGTTTTTATTTATATTCACGTCCTGATTCAGATTGATGACCTGTTTTACATCCCGATTCATATTCATGTCCTGATTTATATTTATGTCCTGATTCATATTTATGTTCTGATATATATATTCATGTCCTGATTCATATTCACATTCTGATTCACGTTCTGATTCATGTTCACTTCCTAATTCACGTCCTGATTCATATTCACGTCCTAATTCACATTCACGTCGTCCTGATTCACATCCCGATTCATATTCATGTCCTGATTCACATCCTGATTCATATTCATGTCCGGATTCATATTCATGTCTTGATTCACGTCTTGATTCATATTCACTTTCTGATTCACATCCTGATTCATATTCACGTCCTGATTCACGTCTTGATTCATGTTTTTATTTATATTCACGTCCTGATTCAGATTGATGACCTGTTTTACATCCCGATTCATATTCATGTCCTGATTCACATCCTGATTCATATTCACTTTCTGATTCACATCCTGATTCACGTCTTGATTCATGTTTTTATTTATATTCACGTCCTGATTCAGATTGATGACCTGTTTTACATCCCGATTCATATTCATGTCCTGATTTATATTTATGTCCTGATTCATATTTATGTTCTGATATATATATTCATGTCCTGATTCATATTCACATTCTGATTCACGTTCTGATTCATGTTCACTTCCTGATTCACGTCCTGATTCACATTCACACTCTGATTCACGTTCTGATTCATGTTCACTTCCTAATTCACATCCTGATTCATATTCACTTTCTGATTCACATCCTGATTCACGTCTTGATTCATGTTTTTATTTATATTCACGTCCTGATTCAGATTGATGACCTGTTTTACATCCCGATTCATATTCATGTCCTGATTTATATTTATGTCCTGATTCATATTTATGTTGAGATATATATATTCATCCTGATTCACGTCCTGATTCATATTCTCGTCCTTATTCACATCCTGATTGTTGTCATAATTTGTGTTTGCATCCTGATTCACGTCCTGATTGTTGTCATAATTCTTATTCACGTCCTGGTTCATATTCACATCCTAAATTAACGTTCTGATTCATATTCATGTCCTGATTCATATTCTTGTCTTGATTCTCGTCCTGATTCATATACACTTCCTGATTCATGTTTTTATTTATATTCACGTCCGGATTCAGATTGATGACCTGTTTCACATCCCGATTCATATTCATGTCCTGATTTAGATTCATGTCTTGATTCACGTCCTGATTCACGTCCTGATTCATATTCAGGTCCTGATTCACATCCTGATTCATATTCAGGTCCTGATTCACATCCTGATTCACGGTTGATTCATATTCAGGTCCTGATTCATGGTTGATTCATATTCAGGTCCTGATTCATATTGTCGTCCTTATGCACATTCTGATTGTTGTCATAATTTGTGTTCACGTCCTGATTCATATTCACATCCTAAATTAACGTTCTGATTCATGTCCTGATGTTGTTGTGCAGTCTGCAGGAGCAGTTGTGTCGGCTTTACCCGCGGCTCAAGGTCCTGGCGTTCGGAGCCAAACCCGAATCGACGCTGCACACGTATTTCCCGTCGTTCCTGTCCCGAGCCACGCCGAACTGCCCTGACGCCATGAAGAAAGAGGTGGGACACAGTTATTTTTTAGGTTGTCATGAAGAGCTTTGAGATTCTGTGTTTTCTTTCTATGTATTTCTGACTGGATTCTGTGTTGTCAGCATCATAGTGCCCTCATTAGTGTGCTGTCATTGCTGTGTGTTTGTGTGCAGCTGCTCCGGAGCCTGACGGAGTGTTTGACGGTGGACGGACAGAGTTTGAGCGTCTGGAGGCAGTTATACACCAAACACCTGCCGCAGTCCTGGTCAGCCTTTCACCATTAAACACCTGCGGAGGACTGGACTGAACGCGTCATTAATGCTTTTCTCCTTTTCTCTTCAGTCTTCTGTTGAATCACCTGCTGAAGTCGTGGAACACACTTCCACCAAAGGTAAGAGTCTGACACACACACAAACACACACACTCACACACACACCAGAGTCTGTTGACTGAAAGAGAAAGAATTGCCTGCATGTGATTTATTTTTCTTCATGTAGCAGACTCTTTCTTCACTGTAAAGTGTATTTTATTCCCATGTCCTGTTTAAATGATATTAGGCAACATTTCTGTTCATAAATTGCATTAATGGACACTTTTAGAAACTTTTGATTTGGCCATGAATGCAGCCTTTGTTGCTGACGTGGCGTTAAATAAATAAAGCGAGATCTAACAGCCTGTGCTCATCATGTGTTGTTGTTTAGTTGCAGAAAAACCTTCAGGACACCATTCAGTCGTTCAGAGTGACCAATGACGAGCTGCAGAGCAGCACAAACACACAGCACATCAGCGACTGCAACTCGCTCTGCCACGTAAGACACACACACACTCACTCTCACACACACTGTCTCTCACACACACTCACACACACACTCTCTCTCACACACTCACTCTCACACACACACTCTCTCTCACACACTCACTCTCACACACACTCTCTCTCACACACACACACACACACACACACACTCTCTCTCACACACTC